GGTTGCAGCCATCATTGTTGTTTGGCGGGCCCTGGCTGGGGATTTGAACCCGCCACCTTAGGTGTATGTGGCTGGCGCCTTAGCTGCTTGAGCCACAGGCGCCGAGCCCAGATGTTATATTTCTAACTTCAATGTTTAAGAAGTTTAACTTCAAACAACCTATGTACTTGAGCTGAGAATGCAGAATATACAAAATGGCTGTCAGCCAAACATTTTGTCAACCATTAATAACATTACTCCAAAAACAAGAGAAATTTTTTTTTAATTGCAGTTTGTGGCCAGGGCTGGGCTTGAACCTGCCATCTCTGGCATATGGGGCCGGTGCCCTACTCCTGAGCCACAGGTGCCGCCCAAAAAAAATTTTTTAAAGATGAATACACAGCTAAATAAAGTAAGCATACTTGAATTTTATGTTTTAGGTTTATGAAAATGAATTTTAAACTACCATAAAGTAATATAACTGGTCTGTGTTTTCAAATGTAAAGTCCAGGCAATTATTTTATGAGAAAATAACTACAAAAATAAACATTTATTGACGACTCACTGTGTGGTAGGGACACAGATTATCCACTATCATCCTTACAACAAGCTATGAGATAAGTACTATTAATATGATCATTTTATAGATGATAAAAACCCAAGTTCAAACAAAGTAAGTAATTTTATCAAGGGCAGAGTTAAGATGAGGCAGATTTGGTGGTCTGATTCCAGAACCTTGGCACGCTACATTTAAAAAAATTAAAAGATTGCTCGAGAGAAATCAAACAGTGAATGTAAACAAAATGTAATGCTACAAAATGAAAACACAATGAATGATTAAAAGTATTACTCTTTTTTTTTTTCTGAGACAGAGTCTCAAGCTGTTACCCTGGATAGAGTGCTGTCGCATCACAGCTCACAGCAACCTCCAACTCTTGGGTTCAAGAGATCCTTTTGCCTCAGTTTTTCTATTTTAGTAGAGATCTTGTGACTCTGCCTTTGTTTATACAAGGAAGTTTGGCTATTTCTGGGATGTCCTCTTACTTGTAATTTAGATAACATGTAATTCTGGCTTCATCACTAACTTTGCACCTGCGTAAGTGGCCTAACTTCCAACAGCCTGGTTTTAAAAATTAAAGGTAACTAATAAAAATACCAAAAACATTTTATTTACGATCTATCATACTGGCCTGCATTTGAGATGGTATGAAAAAAATAAACAAAAATTCAACTTACCTTTTTACAGAGAGCACGCAGGCTTTTTTGAGCCTACAGGGCCAAATTGGGTGGGAGCAGGCTACACCTGTTGAGTAGCTGCTGTCTGGGATACAATACGATAGCTGCATCCTGCTCCTCTGCAGTGGCGGCTCTGGAAAAAGAACAGACGAAGGGTTGAAAGTAACTAAAAAAGGCACTTTAAAATCGTTAAGAGTTCTGATTTCTAAATATTGCATTCTGAAAAACAAACTCTTTTTAAAAATGTCTTACTGAAGCCTAACATATATACAGTACATTAACCTCTTTTTAGAAGCCATTATGGCAGAGGTTGGAATAAAGATTACGTAAAGGAAGCTCCACCAAAGCAACAGCAGGATTTAAATACTTAGGATGAGCAGCTTGAGCACAGCAAAGAACAAGTGTCAGAAGATGGACTGTTTAGCAGCAGGAACTAAAGAGAAAGCAGGAATTTCACACGCTCTAACAGACCTATAGTCCTTTTTTTTTTTTTTTTTTGAGACAGAATTTGACCATGTCGCCCTGGGTAGAGTGCCGTGGCGTCACGGGTCACAGCAACCTCAACTCTTGGGCTTAAGCGATTCTCCTGCCTCAGCCTCCCAAGTAGCTGGAATTACAGGCACCCGCCACAGCGCCCGGCCATTTTTTGGTTGTAGTTTTCATCGTTATTTGGCAGGCCCCGGCGGGGTTCAAATCCGCCAGCTCCGGGGCATGTGGCTGGCGCCCTGGCCGCTGAGTTACAGGCGCTGAGCCCAGACCTGTAGTCTTAAAGTATGTTCCGTGATGATCATACAGGGCTGCTTGTATTTTCAGACATTAGAGTGTGTCTGACCGTGTCACTTGTCACATGCACAAAAAATGACAAACGAGAGCCTGAAGCTGCTAAAATCAGTACCTTATGCGGAATCCTGCTCCCCCGGAGGCACGCTACAGAGTGCTCCGGCGTTCTACCCTGGCCCTCTGCAAGAAGATCCAGCTTCCTCGGACACCGGAGTCTGTGTGGGAGGCAGGCCCTAAGTGAATGAGCAAGACAGTCGCGTTAGAAAGGTAGCGTACGGGCCTCCAACGACGAGCAGAGTGACTCGGCCTTCGTCTTCCCCTCGGAGCCGCCATGTTGTCGCCACTTCCCTCACGAGCACGGCGAGCTCTTCCTCAGGGCCTGCTTCGCCGCTTCCCTTCACCCAACTCCTCTCGGGCGGCGGCCCCTCAGGCTTTGCTGGGGCCCGGGAGGCCGACAGGCCAGAGGTGGGCAGCCTGTGGCCTCTGGGCGCGGCCTGCTTCGGCCGA